TGGGTCCCCAGTAGATATGTAAAAGAATTCTTCCCAGATTTCTTCTGGGACCTGATTCAGGATTTCCATCCAAGAGGAAATCAGGCAGAACAAAGGCAAATCATAAGTGAAGTTTAGCTAATGTTTTATTCTCCCTACCCACCTCTAAAAAAAATCTGAATATGGGCTGAGTGTGCCAAGTACTTTAATGAATCAACAAGTTAATTAAATAGTGGTTACAGCAAACTGTAATGATTTCAAAATGATGTAATCATGCAGCAATTGTGTACAAAAGTCACGGTATTTGCATAACAACATCATCAGGCTTGGGCCATCATTCACGACATGCCATAGCCCACATAGCCATAAGAAGTTTTCTTGTAGTTTTTCCAACATCCAATTTTTTTACAAGCTTCTGTTGTGTCATCATTCCTAAACTGTTACAGAAAGTATGTGTTGTGGTGGGAGTTGTTTTTATCGGTCTACTATTTGCTGGAATATTTTTTGAAGTTACATACATACTGTATATGCTCATCATGCTATTCTCTTTCAAGGTAAGCAACATTATGGAAGGAACAGGTAAAAAAAGTATGAAGTAGACAAAACAAAATTAAAGACAGGAGATACAGGTAGTCCTTGTTGAACGACCACTTATTCAGTGACCGTTCAAAGTTACAAAGGCACTAAACAAGGGGGACTTACAACCATTCCTCATAGTTCCATTGTTGTAGCATACCCACAGTCATATGAATGTAATTCAGGTGCTTGGCAACTGTCTCACAATTACAATGGTCGCAGCATCCCATGGTCATGTGATCACCATTTGCAACTTTCACTGCCAGCTTCCAACAAGCAAAGCCAATGGGAAAGCTGGTAGGAGGTTGCAAATGGCGATCACATGACCGTGGGATGCTGCGACCGTACAGGATTTGCCTAATGACAGCAACAGGGACTGCCCCAACTGCTCTCGTAAGTCAGTGTGGTCACATAACATCATACTTTACGACCGTGTCACTTAGCAATAGAGTTGCCTGTCCCAATTACCATTGTTAAGCAAGAACTATCTGTAAGAGAAAAGGAAATCTAAACCTAATTTACACCAACACCATTCCCTATGCCTCTCCATCACCTTTTCTTCCTTGCTTCTATTATACCATCCACCTATTTATACATTATTTTTGTTCTTAAGAATACTTTATTTTCCAAAGTGATATTTCTGAAAGTGAGCCAGACTTGAAAACCTCTCTGTCAAAACAAGTGCTGGAATATCAGTCTGCACATGTCTAGTCATCCCTCAGACAGACATTAGGACCCCATCTACTCTTTCCTTCAACTCTGCCCACCCTGTGAATTTAAACTTTTATACCATGTTCCAAACATCAGCTCAGGCTGGTCAGATGGGGGGGTCAAAAAAGTCAAGATGGTGGGCATGATCATACAGTCAAAGTCCCACCTTTGTATGTGTGCGGTGCATGTTAAAAAGTGGCAGGGCTTTAGTTGCAAGGTCACACCTACCACCTTGACTTCTTTTATCCCTCTCTGAATGGATGCCCCCGATGGGAGGCCTTTCCACCTTTTTCTCCATCCATTTTTGAGATAGCAGAAAACTATACTAGCATGCAATTTGCTGTCCCCATTGCCAATCCCTCTATGGCTTCTATTCTGAGTCCTTGCTGGTCATCTGATTCCCCCCAAGGTATTGGGTAATGTACTGTAACAGACGGAACGCACCTTAAGGCTGTCCTAGGAAAGTTACAACTTTAAAAGTGGTACTACAGTTAAGAATGTAATAAGCCTGTCTCACTGATGCACTGGAGACAAGCTGAAGCCAATATCATGGGGAAATGAGAGAAAAAGGTATTACCAGTGCATGCCCATTTGCTATGCTTAGCTGCAAGTGGGGAAAGGCCCCAGGAGTTGCTTCATGTTTGTGATGGGAAAGATTAACAGTTCATTAGGAACATATGAGAATTGATTTTACCTACTCCTTCCTACACATGGGATTAACATGTTGTTAAACAAGCTGCCATCAACAGAGTGGTATAAGGTTTGAAACCTCTGTGTATTCCAAATTAAAATGTTTGAAAAAATGGATTTCACTGCAGCAAAGGTCAGTCAAGTGGTGAGTAGGAAATTAGCGAGAACAAAACCACAACTTCAGCTCTTTATTTTGAATTTTGCAAAACTGATTTTTGCAAACATGTTTTTGGATTTCACTCTGATCCTACAAACTGCCCCCTGCCCTTCCCTTAATTGCCCACGTCAAATCTCAGTGGCCTAAAGCCATTAAAAACTGTGTTTCAGATTTCTGAAATAAGAAAAAGAGAAGAAAAAATACACTGAAATATACAGGAAAGGCTCTGCAAAATAAAACCAGAGTTCATAGAAATGGGAAGGCCCAGAAAAAGACTATATACTTCAGCCTTTTCCATTCTCCAGATGTGCATTGGACCAATGCCCATAATCCCCAGCCAGCATAGCAATTTTACATTTGCTTACACTGAACTGTTTTTGCCAATTTAATGCCCATTTCTTCTGTTTTGAAAGATCTTCTCACTTCCATTTTTATTCTTTCCACCTTTCCACACCTAATCTGTGTTTCCTACTAAGTGAATGAATGAACAGCTGAGTTAACCCCCAGCTCCAGATCACTAACAAAACATTTTTAATTGTTGTTAGTTCAAAAGTTGACTCTCTTTTATCCCATGACTGCTTTTGGTTTGGAATTTATAAGGAGGAACATTATGAAAGGCCTTGTGAATGTCCAGGTAAACTCTATCAGGTCACTCCATCCACACCCGTTAATACTGTTGAAGAACTCTAAAAGTTATCATTAAACAGAGTTCTTGCTGTTAAATAGCATTATTTATACATTTCCTTTCGTTCAAGTCTTGTTATGTTGCCTCATCATGGCAGGGGGTTGTTCCTGAGAGGAATCAATGCCAGGAGTGTACACCAAGAATTTATATTCCCAGCAGTGTCACCCAAGGCACGAAGCTCATCCCTACAGCCCAGCTAAAGCAAACAGGCACCTCTATTGGACAGCAGCAAGATAGGAAAATGCTGGAGATGGTCACTTTAGTGATAACAGCAAAGGGTTCATTTCATACTGCACAGAAGAAGGCAGTGGTAAACCACTCCTGTATTTTATGAAGAAAACCACAAGACAAGATAAAGTGATTGACAAAGATCTTAGGAAGGACTCAACAAAGAATACCAAGCTGTGGAATGTCCTTACAAAAATGGGAATCCCAGAACATTTCATTGACAAATCTTTTGTAGGGAGCCATGGAGATGACCTTGGAGAAAGTATTCAGAAATCATTAAGCATCAACAGGTCCCAAAACATGTTTTGAGCTCAGGAAACAGGGAAAGTATTAGGAAAAGACTCAGACTGGCTCCTACTTGTATATGAAGCTCATCAGGTAACAAAGGACTAATTACAATCTCTCAACCCCACAAAACTCAGATTGCTGTTCTGAAGATAAAAATGAGCAGTGATCTCATATATTGGAAGGAAGGGTAGGATTTAAATGTAATAAATACATAAAATGTAGGGTTTAAAACAAACAAAAAAATGAAGACCTGTTCTCCAAGAATTTTAAATGCATAGGGCTAGGGTTATCTGGTTAGAAGGGCTAAACTAAATTGTTGCTGAAATTTCCCACTGAACTGGTACTCTAATAAAGTCCATCCTGACTTTTTCATATTGGGTGGTTCCCCCTAAGCAGAATCTAGGTCATAGCCAAGACTTTCTCTGAATAGAAATATTTCCAGATTTGGGACTCAGCACCTTGAAAGGAACTCCACAGAGTTCAACATTACATTGGTTGAGTTGGCTTTTAGATCTAGGATAGAACTAAGGTGTTCTCCTAGTTTTTTCCTTGAGATCTAGACTTTCTGCATGCAAAGCATGTGTTCTGAGCTACAGTCTGAAGAGTTTCTGAACAACTTCCTAAATTGTTTTATCAGACAGGTCTGTTCTAGTTGTGGGAGGAGGTGGTGGTGGGGTGCATCTAAATGAACCATGACTCTAGCCCAATGATTTTCAATTTTGGCAACTTTAAAATGTGTGAACTTCAAATCCCAGAATTCCCCACCCCTTTAGAAATTCAGAAGAAATAAACACAGGTGAGGTCCTTTGGCCAAATCATCAGATCCCCCATATATACCAGTAATGATGCACTTAAACTCTCTGCACCCTCTATTTGAGAAGCTACATGGAATAGAAGATCACAACAGTTTGAAGTTATAATAATCTCTCACCAAAGCAACTCAGCAGCTGGGAAATTTGATAGGCTTTTGACAGGATTCTGCTTTTAAATACTACTCAGAAATTTCAGTTGATACAAAATGGGGCAGTCCACGTGCTGATGGTAAATGCCATAAACATACATATTATATTTGTGCTGTGAACCCTACAGTGGTTGCCAGTAGGTTTCCAGGTACAATTTAAAATGTTGATTTTAACCTAGAAAGCCCTATATGTCTACAACAGTGTTTTTCAAACTTGGCAACTTTAAGATATGTGGACTTCAACTCCCAGAATTTCCCAGACAGCATGCTGGGTGAGGAATTCTGGGACTTGAAGTTCACAAATCTTAAAGTTGCCAAACTTGAAAAACACTAGCCTAGAGTCATGCTTCATTCAGATGCACCCCACCATCACCTCCTACAACTAAAACTGACCTGTTCAATAAAACAATTTAGGAAAACTTGCTGGTAATCTGAAAGGCTGAGGCTAGAAGGAGATGCTTTTCCACTATGGCCCTGGTGAAATAGTTTACCACTGGAGATTCCATAGCAGGTTAAAACAGAGCTCTTTTTGACTGCCTTTTTAATTAGTTAGGATAGCACCTTTGGAGTTATATACTCCAGATAATTATGAATAGTTTATGGCCATATTAATGATTAGCCACTAAGAGCCTTCAGAAATGGATGGCATACAAATGAAGTAAATATATTAATATTATATTATACTATGGATTTTTTATTTTATTTTTTTTTATAAGCCACCGATAGTTACGTGAGTGCAGCAGTATGAAAATCAAATAATATCCCAATATTGCAAGTTTTTGCCAGTTCAATAACAGGGTAACTCTATTAAATTTCTGCTGAAAAACAATCATTTTCTGATTACCAGTACTAAGCCATTGCAAGCCCTAGTGAATTCTGTGCAATGGATGTACAGTTTTCCCTTTATGGAAAAGAATAACTGCTAAGCAATATAACTAAAACATGCTTAACTTTATTAAACTGTTTTCATTTATACCACTGAATCATTTTTCCAACCAGAGTATGTTAGTTTGAGTCATCACACTTCTGTATAAACACCTCACCAACATTCTGAGGACTGATTTGGAGTAAACATTCTGCAGGCTTAAGGCAGGTTTTTGACAGATACTCAACCCATATAAATTATATTGAAACCTGTGGGATTTGAACAATAGAACATGTAATTGATTGCATCCACAAACTATAATGCTTAAGATATGTTCTTGATTAAGTTCATCAGATAAGGACACCAGAGCTCTGAAAAGGAAACCAGTACAGATCTTATATGACAGTCCTTTTACTTTAGCTTATGTATATGTGAATGCTAGCACAAAAGAGTTGATGTAAAAATCTGCACTGCCACTTTGCTCACAGGTATTAGAAACACAAAGCAATTAGGAAGCAAACCCCATTTCAATCCGCATCCAATGCTCTTAAACTGCTATCTGGTCTCTGACTTTAATAATAGAACCAACCTAATTTAAGTATATATTCGGAGCTGCTGTTCAAATTTCACTCCGTAGATTCTACATTCTGAGCTGTCAAGGGGAAGAAACAACAGCAGTTTGTCTGAAAAAGAAAAACAAGTATTGGGTAAAAGAGAAAAATTGTTTTTCTGACTGCATTTATAGTTCAGGCATTTATAGTGATTGCATCTGAATAGCCTTTACATTTTTTGAGGAGTTCCCACTTTCCTTTCTGTTATAAACAAATCATTACAGACACTTAGAGCAAAGTTGTTTTCTAGAAACACTGACTTTGCAAACTAAAACTTAATGAAAGAGGCAATGCAGTCTCAGTGTTATTTCTGGTAGATAGCTGTAGATTTCCAGTTTTCAGAAGAGATTAAATAAACCAGAAAAGATGGTCAGCAAACAGAATGCTAAGGCGAAAAGATGGCTTACAACATTCAGTGCACTGCCCAGATATTTTAAGGTGCCAAAGAATATTTAGCACTAGTTGTCATCTCTCTCAAGTTTCCATTAAAGCTTAAAAAAAAAAACTTAAAAGCAGCTGAGTGCCCAAATTAATCCCAAAGTATTTCCTTCATCTTACTGGTCATCAGTAATTTAAGATCTTAACTAAGGATATACTCAAATTCAGGGAAAGAGTTCCAGCTCACAACTGTCACTAGGTTATGTGGGAATAATAGTACAAGGCCCTATTGATTAATTGCACTAAGAGGCATTAAAAACTACAAATCCTATTCATAACAGAAGTGAGAAATATTCCTAACTTCCAGGAATGTTCCAGGTCTTAAGAATGAGGTTTATACTGGATATTCACAAGGTCAATGTCAGACAGTTTTCCTTGTTGATTCTCTTCCATCATGCCTACTTTGCCAGGTTAAGTTTGGGAAAGTAGTAAGGAAAGACAGGTGAAAAGGAACTCTCAGCAAACACCCCTTTCCACACAAAAACTTGGAGGGGACACCTAACTCTGGTTACAAGACAGGCTGGGGTAGCTCATCTATCAGCACTTAGAAAGCCATATTGAGAAATCAACCCTGGACTTACAAAATATGCTAGTCAACACTGAAACTTTCAAATATACTGTTGTACCACTGTAAAGATTAAGAGAAGGAAGGATGAGCTGCAAGGATGAGAAGTCCTATCGGTGTGGAAAATGTGAATTTTCTTGGTATCTGGATGGAGTACTCTGGCATCTTCCAATGCCCTCTGTGCTGCTTGAGTAAAGTTAACATCTCCTGAAGTCATCACATCAAAGACGCATGACTGGAAGTAGAAGTCTTCAACTGGTAGCTTCTCCTTACATAGCAGATTGGCTTTCTTTCTGGTGAGGCTACCTTTTGGATGACAGTACTCATATATAGACATGCGCTGGCTGAAAAAGCATCCTGACACACACAGCTGGAGGTCCTGTTCATCTGTGAAGGAGAATGCTACCTCCTTAGCTGTCCGGATGGAGAAGATCAGGTGCTTCCCTACCTGGCGCACAGCAATGGTGGTACCAATGTACGTTGCTTCGATTGTTATGTACTGTCCAGGTATACGTTCATGAATGGTTAAGCTATTCCCTCCAGGCTTCTCACCACCATTCACTGAACCATCTGTGAATGCTACTGGCAGGTTGTCCATTTCTGCTTGGTAGACTTTCTCCTCAATGCACTCTTTCATGTTCTTAAATATGATGGTAAGCTGAAAAGGAATAATAGATTTAAAGCACAAGGGATAGTTCAGGTAATTAACTTTTCAAGGAGCCATTCAATGACTGATTCATACTTTACCATCCAAAGAGAACACACACCAAGCTGAAATCTTCTATCCTCGTTTAGAGGAAAAGCAAACATTATCCATCAGATGGGATGGAAGACTAAAACTAACTAAAATGCCTTTTCTTATGCAATAGAAGAAAAGGAGGCAACACAAACACACATCACTTTTCTGCTTTTTCATGATGGACCTAACTGCTATGCTCTATCCAAAAACACAGCCTTGCCTGGGAATCTTAGTTATCCAGTGATGGATTCTATTACAGAAGAGAAATAAATGAGGGGTCTCCCGCAGCAGAAGCAGTTTCCCCAAATTAAAAAAAAAGGGTCCAGTTTACCTATGGCAGAACATAGTTCTGAGCTGAAAAAAGAAGAGAATCAACAACTTCTTGTGGGATTTCTGGAAAAGCAAGGGAGCATAAGAAGCAGAACTGCTTCTTCCATTATGTGTTAAGTTGATGCTAAACTTCCAGGCATGTTTCTTCCCCAGGTGCAGTAAAGTACATTGGCTCTTCAGGGCAACATAGGAATAAAAGTTGATTCACATATCAGGAAGTATTGCCTGATCTGGGGAATCTCCAAGCTTTCAACCAGAAATGGAATAGTCCCAGCTATTCATTTTTTAAAAAACTGAAAGTGACTGTGATTGAAATTTCTTGGGAACAATGAAAATTTCTTTAATCCAATCAGACCACTGGAAGCTCCAACAATACCAAACCCCTGCAAATGCTGGGGATTTTATCAGAAGTCCTCTATCAGTGATGGGAGCAGATATTGGACCTAGTATGCCAGCAACATTCACATCAGTCATATACCCACTATATATGTTCAGTTTCCTGATGGAGATGGCAGAGAATGTATTCCAACACATTAGAAAGGCACCAGATGAGAAAAGGCTCAAACACATTCCTGAACTACCAGTGCAAACCAAGGAAAGCTTCAGTATTGGCTGGGATCAGATATTGCATTAAACCATGTTGTACAAATCCAATTGTTACAACGTTAACCCATGATTTAATATTTTGTGGAAACCCAACCAATCTGACAAACAAATACAAGTATAATATGAGTAAGGCCAATCATTTAGAGGGGTCAGGGCCAGAACTCAACCTACAGGCCTTCTAAAGGCCAGGCAACATGGTGACATCCAAGAGAGAGACAAAAATGTGGGGTCCTTTTTTGGTTGGGGAGGTTTTAAGGATATGAACAAGAGTGGGAAGCCTTTGAGAAGCAAATTGCTCCATCTTCATCTTTAGCATCGTCTAAAACCTAAAGAAAAAATCAAATCACACCAGCAAATCAGCTACTTTGCCAGCATGTTTTCAAACTGCTGGGAGTTCTCAAATGGGATGCTGGGGAATACATTCACCCTGTTGGTTGCCCAATCCTGATATGGAAGAGTGTATTTCTACCTTGCCAATCCCAGTGATGTTTGATCCTTTAACAATAGGATAATTAGTGGTCTGCACAAATAAATTATTGTTGTCCAGAAGTGGCCAGGAGCCTTCAGCTTGGCAAGTGTAGAATTCGTCACTGAAAGTCCGGACATGAAGTTTTCCAAAGACAGCACAGTAGTGGTATGTGGGGGGACGGCCATGTTTACGGATAAAACTCTTCTCATAGTCACAGGTATCTATGGATGGAAAATCATGTTTGTTGGGTGCCAGTGCTGGAGGTCTTGGCAATGCTGTTGGCTCTTCCTTGGAACAGTTGTTCTGAATTATGAGATCTTCAATGACATAAACAGCTGCATGATATGCCAGGTCCCCACGGCAAGTGAGGGCTGTCCTCCGGGTGCAGCTAGAGTAGGAGCTCAAGGCATTACAGTAGGCAGTGTTCCTTTCAAGACCATGCAAGTTTGCTGTGGCATCTATAAATTCAGAATTACAGCGCGAAATCTTGCAGTGGGAATAAACTGTACCAAGGAAAATCAAGAGAAACCATTAGAAATAAGATGGAATATTCATACTTCAACATCCTTTGCAAAACTGCAAGAATCTCCTCCATAATACCTGACTCATCACCTAGCAATTTAATAAGCAAAACCTGGTCATCTGGCCCAAAAGCTTCCAACTCTCTTATACAGTCCACTGGAGTTGGGCAGCCAATAAATTTAAATAATAATAAAGCCCTAGATAACTTGAGCTCTGAATACAAAAGGGAATGCCTCCTGCATAAATTCCTCAAGTCAGAAGCAAATAATTCACTCTGTTAGCTCTTCATTGCTGTTTGTTTTTCTAGAATTCCCTGCAAGGGTTTTTCTGTGCTTTCCCATATCCATCCCAGGATCTCTCTGCTGGAGATTACAGCATGTTTTTCTGTTTTTTAGCAAGAAAGCATTTCTGCGTATGAGAGACCTTCTCCAACTTGGTTCTGTTCAAACATAATGACTTCAACTTCCATAAATCTCCAATCACTATGGCCAAGCTGGCTGGAGGGCTATAGGTACTGACATCCGATTAAGAAGACATCAAAACAGGGATAGGTGTATAAGGACTTTTTTAGACCATTAATTTATCAGAATGATACACTTCTGATTAATGATATTTTATAGTATTTTTATAACAAATTATCAGAAGATCAGAAATGGGAGCAGGGTCTTGTAGAAGACAGAGCTAGGCATGCATAGGCCTCAGTGCTTCAAAAAAAACCCCAAGACTCTTTCTTAAAACACCCAGAACTTCCTTTGACTATTACAGTTGAAGATTGGTAGCACAATCTGTCATTATTCGGAGACAAGAAATGCATGAAAACTGTAGTGTAAGCTGTATTACACACACACAGGGAAAAAACCCAGCCCCACTCATTTTGCATGGGTGTCTTGCAAAATGTGGATCAAGTTTGTCCAGCACCTTATTTTGACAGCATCCAAGGGCAGCCTGGAGGTATGTAAAATCTGTTGGGTTTGTCACCTATCACTTTGGTACTTGGGGGAAAACCAAATGACTCGCTGTGACTGGGGACAGAGGTGATAGAGTCTGAATAGGATTGGCAATGAGAACAGCAAATGTCAAGCTAGTGTAGTTTTCTGCTGACTGAAGTTTGGATAGAGAGCAGTTTAGCTCAGCAATAGGGAAAGACCCTAATTTAGCACTACCCCAAATAAATAGCTTAGATGTCAAATCTCTTACCATGTTTATATAATAGGAGAAGGGTCAGCAATTTAATGAAGAAGTTTGGATTCGTTGAGTAAAACAGATTCACGCAGCGGGCTGATTGCCTTGTTCTGAACCATTCAGTCATTTTGGAAGCTGATCGTTCAAGTCTCTCCTCACCCTTTCTTTCCACTGGTTTGCTGTAAATAAACATAGACTGAAATAAATCTTTTTGGTGTTCTCCTGCTTTATGCCACACAATCTGGCCTCAGGGAACATTGCTGTCCTGTACGGTTTTTTAATTTGTAGCTCTCATTTTGAATTCTGTTTGGGGGAAAAAATTGTGACAATGAAATTATTCTTTTTCTGGTATTCATATCACTGAAGCGCACTGAGGCCATTGTACTTCTATGAAGGCAATTCTTACCTGAAGTAGTTGGAAGGCAGGGTTACCTAAGGTGTAGCTATTTCCATTTCAGACCAGTGACAGGCTTAAAAATCTCCACTTCAGAGTCTAGCAAACTAGTTCTGGTTCTTCTCATACTCTTATTGGCCCTCTCTGGTGACTTGAAATGTACTCCAATATAAAAAAAAATTGCAACAAGATATTCCTTTTGAGGACTTCACATTTCAGCCAAGATAGAAGATCCTTGACTTAAACAAAACTAGGTAAAGGAAGATACCTTCTATCCACCTCCAACATCAATCAAAGCAGTACGTGGAAGATGATCAATTTCAGGCTGGCAAATAACCGCCGAAGCTGGAGCAATCGTTCACACGAGAATGCCTTTATCCACCATTTTGATGGAAGGGCAAGCTAGTAGCAGGCATCTTTTGTCTTACCCTCTGAAGAGATTCCATTGCTCTCTTGTTTAAGAGTACTACAGCAATCAAGAAGGATCTTCTTTCTTTTCACTATCCAATAAACAGTTTCCTCCATTCCTAGTGTCCAAGGCCGATTTTACAAGGACTTAGTGACACACTGCACATCCCAATCGTGTGTGTGTGTGCTACTGTGAGAGATAGTAACCTTTCACTAAAGTCAATAAACTATGGCAGAGACTTTGCCCGTTTCCAAACTTGCATCATGAGTTAATGATCAACCAGTTGATCCCTGCATACAGTGATCCCTCTAACAACAGGATGGCAGAACCCAAAATTATAAAGGATTTTACAATAGGCAACAAGTTTGGGAGAAAGACCCTTGTGTCACTGCTGAGATGAACCATTGAATTATTCCCTCCCATAAGATGCCCAAGAGCTAGCTTGCATCTCTCAGTTTGTAGCATCAAACTCAAACAGGAAGAGCATTCAGTTCAGTCCTAATCAATTCAGTTAATGATCTAGGACTGAATTCACACAGCATGCTTTGCTTATTAGGATGGGTTAGCTAAACAGGCTGTGACTTAAATTGTGAAAATCCAGCCCATCTGATTAACTTGACATTCAATACATTGTATAAACTCAGATAATGGGTTAATTCAGTAATTAACTTCAGAAAGATTACTGAATTCACCCACTTTGAGTTTACACAATATATTGAATGATAATCTGATCAAAAGGGCTGGGTTTGCACAACAGATTTGTAGTTGTATGGGGGGGAAAACATGGAAGAGATACTGCTATGTACATTGCCTTGAATTCCTGGAAGTAAGGCAGGCTAGAAATAAATAAACAATCATTTTCCCCACCTGTCCTCTTTGTGGGAAAAATGGAGTCAAAACTCACAGATCCTGTGTTCCTAGAGGGACACGTGGAAGAAGGCGGTGACTCTGTGAGGCCACTTCCTCTTCCTCCATGCAACGAAGAAGCACATGTCTGAGCTCTTCAGCTCAGAGATAAAGTATGGCCTAAAGTATGGCCTAGTCTTATAATCCAGTTAATAGTTTAAAATTGCTGTTTATTTATTTCTTGCTGCTGTAACTGCTGTTCTGAAAAGAAAGAAAAGTACTTCATGTGAGTAAACGTTATTTCTGCTTTCCTTTACAAGAAAACTGCAATAGTTATTTTTGGGGGAATAAAAGGAGTAGCACCAGTTATAATTCCATGCCCACACTCTTGAACAAGAGATCCCGAATCCTGCAACCAAGGCTTTTAGGACTCATGATGTGTACATCTAGTTGAAGAGAGAGACAACACAATCCACAGCCCCTGAGCCACCTTTTTCATAGCCCTCAGATCCTGTTCCTCATTATTATGACTCCTAAAAATTAACAGTTTGGTTTCCTGCTATCTTGAAGTAGGAAACGTGAGAACTGCAATGCAAACTCTAAAATAGAGATAACACAGTTAAAGGAAAACCACCAACATTTCCATCCCAAGTCCTGCCTCACCCAGATGTGAGACAAGGCCATGCCTACCCTGTGGCTCTCAATCCTCACAATGTTCAATGGGGTCACTGGCTACCAAATGGTTGCCAAACCTGGGTTACATGAATTAGACCATTATTGTTTATTGAACACAGGTTTTAGCACATGAACTCAGCTTTTTAGTGGTTTCACACTGAGCAGATAGTAGTCTAGTCCACACAAAGGCCAAGTTTACAGAATAAATCACAATTAGTGATGGTCACACCACAAGTTATATTTTTCCAAATTAAAATGGCTCCATTCATATGCAGCATGCTGAACTGAAATCAAACAAACCAAAGTATGATTTAGGCAGTGGGTTATGGGTTTTGATAAATAAGCTGGTGTGTGCTTGGGTTCACAGGTTGCCTAAGCCATACTGTGGCATATTTGTAAATTAAATCCATGTGAAGGTCAAGCAAAGTTCCATCTCAGAGGATGCTCACACTAGGCTACAACCTCCTATTAATTTCAATTTTTAAAAATAAGACCTCCAGGGTATATGCAGGGCCAGAAGCAATCCTGGAAATAAAGATTATGCTTGAAGATAGTACTTTATAGAAAGCTAGTTTCCCATTTAATTTGTTTTAATTAAAATATTTTTAAAATACGCTAAAATTAGATATGGAGTCTATAGGTTACATGGGTGTTTGTGGACCCAGATAATACTGCACTCCAGGGGTATAACTGAGGGATTCTTCTTGTCCTGTCAAGTGAATGAAATAAACACAAGTAGCTTGACATAGAAGAAAATGCTGAATACTTCCCTTTTTTTAATTCTCCCTATATCACAAGACATTTTAGATGCCTCCCAAAATGACTTATATCTTCAAGCAGCTGAAGTCCAGCTGTTCTGATCATTTAATGTGGTTTCCAAGCTTAGCCTACACACTTCGAAATAAGCAGCACTGAAAATAATTGAGCAGTTATTCCCTGTATTTTTAAAAAGGTTAACCAAGATCCATCTTGATTAATGCTTTGATGAAACGCTTCCAAAAACTCTCGGCTATGTTCTAGATTGAGAAGTCCCTCCCCAAATTCCAGAATGCAACAGGAGCAGACAGGCGCATCTGCAGGGGTCAAAAAAGTTAATATGAGAAAAAAATTGATTAATGCTGGATGTTGGAAGTCCCTCTTGGATTTTTTTCAGGAAGCAGAAAAAAATGAAATTATGATATATGGATTTGATAATTAAATTAATAGATTATACAAAATATGTACATTAAGGTGCAGTTTTAAAGTAAGAGGTTATTATATGATTCATTTATATCTGCTGTATGAGGAGTCAGAAGTCATTCTTTTTATATTTTTCTTTATTTTCTACCTCTTTTGTTTTCTTTATTTCTAGCTCTCTTGCTTTCTACTCTTCTTGATTAGTTCTTGTTTTTATTCTTTTGCTTTCTAAAACTTTATTAAGTCCATTAAAAAAATCTAAGATGTCAGCCAAGAGGGTGGAGTTATGTAGTTATAGTTACCATCTTGTCTTTTTTGACCCCTCCAGACACCTGAGGTGGCAGATTACTTCTATATTGTGCCAAGCAAACTACATGATTATGCCCAGTAATGATCAGAAATCAAGTCTGACTCAAAAGAAACTCTTTTATACAGCATGTGTAACCTAGCCTATATATAGTCCTACAGTTCTTTTTCACCTATAAACCAGCTTCACAATAAAATAAGTTAGACTGTTTTCCAATTTATATTGCAAGATTTCTTATCTAAATATTTTTATTACTTAAACTCTCCACCTTTAAAATTTGCAATTTAAACAGCAACAAGCAAAAGAGGCAATTCCACAAAGTTTTCTTCAAATTCGACTAAACACTTATGAATTCAACCTCCACTGAAATATTAATTAAGAATTATTAAGTATCGATATAATCCCAAACAGACTATTGACACCTACCCCTATTCTATTCCATTTTTTCTGGACAAAGACTTGAAGGAAATATGCAGATTTGGAAAAACAAACCAATGGGGATTCTTAGCAGCAGGCAGAGTTCATAGCACCTTCGTTCATCTTTTTGAAAGATTCAGAATTACTAATGTCACCAAAACACTAGAGTGCTACTCTTGTAGACTCAAAGTAATAAATGAAGAGATGCTGAGGTTACATATCCCAGGCAACTTACCATCACCACAAGTCACCAGAGTTCCACTTATTTAAAAAAAAAAAAAAGTATTTAAAACATGTGTATGTGTGTGTGTGTGTATTTTACATATATAGATATATATATGTATGTATGTATGTATGTATTTTATATATATATAAAAAACACACTAGATTTCTCCAACAAAGATTTCTGTTCTAGAGTTTGCTTGGTCACTTTTTATTCATGCCTGCTTAGCATGATCCCACCCTTTCTTGGTCCCGCCCTTTATATTTAAACACCTGTAGTCATGTTATATTTTTTAAAAAAGTTCCTCTGAATTTATGCAAAATGCCTTTTGACTCAGCTGAACAATTGTAACCTATCCCCACCCAAAACAGAGATGCAATATTCCTTCTGTTATTGATGGTAGCCCTTACCCTCCCAAGACATACTGAATGACAATTTCTTGTTTATCTTACAGCAAAACAATCTAGTTTAGCTTATAATCAGCATAAATAGCCTGGTGTCCTCTATTTCTTTTGGATGGACTCTCATTAGATCCAGCTGCCATATCCCATGGCAAGAGATTACGGGACTAGTATCCAAAATATTTGGAGAGCCCCAGGTTGCCAAGGCTTACTTGGAATTCCTTTTATTGTTCAGTTTTAGGCCAGTATTCCACTTCTGGATAACACCTGCCCATTTTCATTGCTACTTAAGGTATCTTATTGGGCTAAAACTTTGAAGTTAGCAAGATTAAAAGGAGAATCACTAGACATATACCTTTAAGGAACTGCAGCATCCCACATCAGAAAAACTTGAAAAAAATCACAGAGGAATAGATTTCTCCCCCACAGTGCAGCTTCTTTACTTTTTAAACAAAAACTGGATCCTCAGCCCGTGCTAAGCCATGGTTTGCTTGCCCAGGGTTTAAGTAAACTACAGTGTAGTGGATGTATATAACATACTGAGCCATAAACCATGGTTTACAAGCCACAGTGGCTGGGTTCACATCTGCTAAGCCTAATCCCAACTACCTTTAGAGTTGCATGGAAACTCAGACATGGTTTGTTGAAGATTGAATCCTAAATCTTAATTATGAGTCAATAGCCACAATGGCTGAATTCATACAACATGCTAAGCCCAAATGAAAGACGCCATATCATGGCATAACATAACAAACTGTATGAGCCCAGCCAACATTGTAAAGTTTGTATTCTTGTTGTATCCTTGACCCCCAATATATATGTAGGGCTATCTGATTTTTAAAAAGATCAGGGCCTTTTTTAAAAAGGAGGACTTACTTCTACTGAAGTTCCATCTTTTACACAGCTAGTAAAAGCAGAAGCATCTGTCAGTTTCTGCAGGTGGTTATCCTCTAAAAGCAGCATCATTTAGTACACTTTCTGTTGGTTTTCCTATTAAATACAAGAAAGAGTAACAGTAAAAAAATATACAAGTCCAAACTTCAATAACAGACAAACAATGACATGCAATCACAGAAGTTTGGCTATGTGTTTGTACCCATTTACTTGGGATTAAGCCCCAATGAAGCCAGTAGGACTTACTTTTGAGTAGGCATCCCTAGAAATATGCTTTACATATTAGAATCATATCAACTGGCTGGTTTAGCACATCACTCTAAACCATGATAGGGTTTGTTGATTTTCGATTTAACGTCTTATGTGATATTAGTGCCTGGCCACCTTTTTTATCAGTTGTGACCCTGTGACAATTTCAATGCAGTCGCCAACCTTCTCTTTCTGGGGGAGGTTGTTGAGAAGGTGGTGGTAGGTCTAAGCTTCAAAGGATTCTGGAGGAAGTGGATTATCTGGACCCATTACAATCAGGTTTCAGGCCAGGGTAGAGCACTGAGACATCATTGATTGCACTTGTGGATGACTTCTGGTGGGTCTGGGATGGTGATAGTGTATCCATCCTGACCTTTTGACACATTTGATTAGGTATCCTTTTGAGCCAGCTGAGGAGGTTGGGGATGAGAGGTATGGTTCTTCAGTGGATCTTCTCCTTCCTCCAAGGCCACTTCCAGTTGGTGTTGCAGGATAGGAGAGGTTCCAGCCTTAGGCCCTTGCTTTGTGGGGTGCCACAGGGCTCAACTCTCTCCCCATTACTATTTAACATCTACATGAAACTTTCGTGCTGATGATACTTAGCTGTACCTCTCTGACCCGGGCCACTCCAGTGATGTTGTCAAGATGCTTTCCCAGTGCCTGGAAGCTGTACAGGCCTGGATGGGGAAATATTGGCTTTGGTCAACCCTGAAAAGACTGAGTGACTATGGGTTTTAGAGTCCCCCCATATCTTGTGATTTGATATCTTTAACTCAGGCTGGGGTGACATTCCCCCAGTTGGAGCTGGTGCACAATCTGTGGGTTCTCTTGGACTCTCAGCTCCCGCTCAAAGAGCAGGTAGCAGCCATGGCCAGGAGAATCTTTGCACAGATATATCTTGTATGCAAGCTGCATCCTTTCCTAGATCGGGAGCACTGCTCATAGTCATTCATCCCTTAGTTACCTTCCAATTGGACTACTGCAATGTGCTGTACATGGGGCTACCCTTTAGGAGCATTTGGAAGCTGCAACTGGTCCAGAATGCAGTGGCATAGGCAGTAGTGGGCACACTTTGGTACACCCATGTAACACCACTGCTGCATGAGCTACACTGGCTTCCAGGTGCAATTCAAGGTGCTGGTTGTCACCTTTAAAACCCTATATGGCATGGGCCCAGGTTAGTTGCAGGACTACCTATCCCCAATGGTTTCTGCTTGCACTACTAGATCTGGCAGGGTCTGCACACTCCAGGTCTCCTTGATGAAGCAGTGTTGCCTGGTGGGACCTTGAAAGTAGGCCTTTTCTGTTATGGCAACTGCCTTATAGAACAGCCTCCCCCTAGTGATACAGATGGCCCCAACCCTGTTGGCCTTCGGGAAGGTGGTGAAGAGCTGGCTTTTCCTCCAGGCACTGTGGCCAGGATGCTGATAGAGCTGGCACAGGGTGGTTGGTAGATGAATCTAAGTTTTTATTGAGGCCTCAATGCAGTTTATTGTTTCAAATGGTTATTTTTAATATATTGTGTTTTTATTCGGTTTGCTTGTAATCACCTTTAATAGTTCAGGGTTGTGGTTCAGAACCTGGCTATATCTGAGGTGGTCTCATAAGAAGATAAGATCCAGCCAGGAGGTCCTGTTCCCAGAGCCTTCTTTCTTTCAGCCTCTTCTGGAACAGCAGACCCTCAGATATAAGGACAGCCTTAACCCTGCTAGGATTTTGAAAGGCTGTCAAGACCTGGCTTTTCCGGGGCAATTTGGAGATGCTATGGTTACCTGAACTGCTCCTTGTGAAGTGGCAGCAGATGATCGTTGAGAATTCTGATGAGTTCATGATTATGATATGTATTGCCATGTATTTTGATTCTGTTATCTTAGTTCTAAGTATTTTTAATCTGAATATTATAATTAGGGGATGGGAGAAACCATGAGTCTATCAGAAAAAGTGAAATAAACCCAATAATTCATATAGAAAATATTTCATGAAATGGACCCTTCTCCAAATATATCTGTCCAGATACTTTTTATTGATTCTTTGGGACATTTACTGGGGAATAAGTCAAAAAAGACACCCTCATCTCCTACTCAACTCTTAGCAAGGGATGCCTTGTATTTCTTTGCAGTAAAGATGAAGGTAAAGACAAAGACAGGTTTGAACTGAGATCAATTCCTGGTGCTTTCATCAACCTGTTGAAGCCACTTTCCAAAAAGTGCCTTCTAAAACCAATAGATGCTCTTTCTTTAAAAATAGGAAAATCAAAGAAAATGTTTTTAAATTCTTAGAAATTCAGGTTTAAAAATAAATTTGCACTATGAACTTCTATTTTTAACAAAGATTCTTTAGTTGTTGGGGGGTTTGTTTTTTGTTTTTGAGGGATGGGTAGTATTTAATACCACACCTCTAAAATAAACCTTGCCATTAAAGGTTTAACTCTGTAAAAGTGTTGGGTTTTAGATATTCAATATCTGTTCCCTGTAATACTTTCTTCCCCTGTAAGATGCAAAGAAAGCAGCCATTTTTATGGCGGCAGCCATTTTGAAATTCCCAATATTTAGAAAGCCCCTCAGGTTTCTGGCTAAAATTAAATGTCTGTTTCTACACTCTTCCTAAAAAAAGAATGTTGCCTCTCCCCGAAGTATAGCTGAAATAAAACAGACAATGTGGAGGGGAAAAAATCAAGAAATCCTCCTTATTGTCATGGATGGCAAAAATGGAGTGCAGCTCTGAGGAGAAAGATCACACAATTTTATTGAAGCAACGATCACTGGGTTCCAGCCTACAGAAGAAAAGGAAACAGAACACAAAGGATAGGTAAGAATTTTTATAGATATTTCAAACAGTTGTATATGCTGTTTGGGGAATTCTGATTTGGTGTTAGGGTTCTTGAGATCATAGAAGAAAAATCTGAGTGGTTTTGTCTATGAAATAAAAGCTGCATTATTATTAAAGAAGCAATGTGTTTTTAGAAGCAGCAGCATTGGAAATTACTATTGTATCCCCTGCTAACGAGCAGTAGAGTGTTGATGGGATTAGGCACCTGTCTCCAATTTACATAAAACATTTGCAGTTATGTTCTTGACCTTTCCCTCATTAGGCTAGTCTTAGCCCCATTAAGTGGAGCTGGATCTCTGCTGCTTCATGTCAATTTCATTCTTGTTAAGGTAAGCAATATTTCTTGACCTTCAGTTCCTGATGGAATTAGGGTGCTTTCTTTTGGAAAAGTAATTTTTAGACATGATGCGATTATGTAAACAGGGAACTGAACCCAATCTCTATCACATCTACAGGAACAGAGAAACATGAAATGTATTCTCCTTTTATTTCAGCCATAACATTATCAACTGGTATCTCCTTACTCAGATGTTCTCATTCATACCATGAGGTCCATCAGATGGCTTTGGTTCCTTTGTATCAAACTGACCTTACTGGATTGTTGCAAAGAGGAAAATAAGGGGTGGTCACTGGAAATGCATGGCCCTTCCATTCATATAGCCACAGACATAAATAATCAACCTCCTTTGCCTTAATAAAAATTGTGAAGCAAATAAAGATAGAGTTTCTGCAAGGACACATGAAGCAGTTGGTTAGCCACCTGCCCTCTAATTTAGCCAAAAGAAACAGCCACCAAGCAATCCAGCACTCAGCAGAGAGAAAGGCACCCAGTAGCTTATGAACCTGTTAGGGCTGACCTTGGCATTGGACGTGATCTACCATTTGAATCATGAAATTCCATAATCGAGGATTTTTTTTTCACCAGGAACTCATTATTTATGAAACAGAAGGAGGAGCAAACAATGCCTTCATGCATTTGTGCATTCCAAAAACTCATCCATATATACTTGATGATGGAAGAAAATAGTGATGGCTAAGCACAGATGATGGGGCCATCACATGTACAAATCCATAGACAAAATTCTCCCATTGCCTTCTGTCATCCACAAATGCTTTCTGGTGGAGATGGCTCATACCTTCAAGGCATCAAAGCCTGGTTCACAGATGCCCATACAACATTTGTTTTCCTTACACCTGAATCCTGTACACATGATGACTGGTAGTTAAATCTGCAACTGTGTACAAGCAGTGTATTTTGAGGGAAGGGGATGAGAGCATTGTCTTTGTAGTGATTAGACATAGTATTTGGCCAGTTAAATACTATGTCTGTATTATTTGATGTTACAGAACAACCAGCCCTGGCTGACTAGCCAGGTGTGAGAAGGAATGAAAGATCTCTCTGCAGTATCATCTATGATGACAACTAATTCATACATTAGAGATCATGAGTTGACTTTGCATTCATCAAGTGATGACAGTTCATAATAGTTATGGGGGATTATGAGGTTATGAATAATCTATATCAAAAGCACATTTGGGAAATGACAATATGGTCCCATGAATACCTGGTGATACCACAGAAAACAGTAGAAAATGTGGGCAGTATTTCTGATTGGTAAAACATTGCTTGTCCTAGAATTCCTAACAGAATTCTCAATGATACATATGTACCACAGTGGCCGTTTTCTTTCTGCATTTTGTTTACATTCTGTAAGCATGGACTGAAGTGTAAAGCCTCTCATGAAGAAAAACCTTCAACAGCTTAAATCAAATAAAATGTAGAATTTATATGAAATGACAACTGAGGGCCGCACACAACTATTACTTTAAAAGGAACTCTAAAAACCAAAGAATTAAACTTTATTTTGGCCTCTCTTAAATAACAAGACAATACATTTAACAATGAACACATATCTGAGCTCCCCGTTATGTCCATGATTAATAATCTGTGGTTTTGTTTTTTGTGTGTGTGTGAGAAGAAAAACCTTGCATTTGCTTATGTCTGTACTCTTTTTCTGTAAAGTTTTACAAATAATATAATGTTAACAAAACTTCCTCTGTCCTTTGGCAACTTTGATTTGATGTGAGAGTTTTTTCATTATCATAAGTTCCCCAAACTTTTCTCAGAGATTTCATGTTGGCATAGCAGTTCCTTCCCCAAAACCTAGCAGTAACACATTCTGCTGCCAACAGCAAAAATGCCAAGATGGTTTAAAACATCTTAGCTTTTCCTGAGTCCTGAATGAGTGGAAAAATACTAATGGGATTGTCTATGGCTTAAGATGTTCGCTGTGGTGGGTGGAAAAAGCTATACTCTAAAAGAAAGTCAGAATTTATCATGTACTACCACATGCATTAATACAACTCTGAATTTCCACCCTTTTCAGTTAGGACTAGGCTGCTTAATATAAATAAATCTCATTTTAAGCAGTGGTCATGGCCATCTACATAAAGTGATTGCATTTGCATTTGCCATTACTTTTCCAATCCTTCCTCAAATTTTGCCTTGTCTGTGAAGTTTGTAGGAACCCTGTAGTTTCCATTTCCTATTGAAACAAGGCCTAACCTAAGTACTTAATAAGGTACATATTCTTATTCTGTTCTTCTCTTCCTTACTCCCTTTACTACAACCTTCCCCAATTTGCACTCCCTTCAGATGCACGGACTATATATTTTCCACATTCACAGCAATGGTTATTCACAATCACATGAGGTCCTTGCTTAACAACCTGCGTGGCCCTCACTTAACCAGAGTTACTGGGGACTGCTGGAACTGCTATCGTTAAGTGGTGTGGTCACATGATCCCAATTACTGTTGTTAAGCGAGGACTGCCTGTACTGGCAAGAAAAATCTAGGAGTCAATGCCCACATTTCTGAAGGGCACCCAGATTTGGGGAAGGCTGCCTTACTCTATTACACAGATGTCCTGGGACTATAATGCTCAAAATTTTCAACCATTCCCAGACTGACTAAAAATTCAGGAAGCTGTAGTTCCAAACTCATCTGGAGGGTACTAGGTTGCGGGAGACTTTTCTTTAAAGGCTAAGATATGGCTTAGTGATACAGAACACCAGTTGCAGGTAGAAGCTTCTATTTCAATCCATCACATCTACAGATACAGCAGAAAAATCTTACCTGAAATCATGGAGAACTATTGCAAGCCAGTAGTCCTGGATTAGATGGACCAGTAATTTGTCCTTCATAAAAGGCATCTTTTTATATTTCTATGCCTCCCTTCTGTTCAGTTTTAAAGCAGAAGATTTTTGAGCTGAGATTACTGGTGTTTGTTTTTCCTCTGTAAGGCACCATTATTGGTTGTGGTGGTGGTGATGGTAATGGTCCTTGGGTGATCTGTGCAAGGTGACTTAAGATGATCTTAAGCGATCTGATGAGATTCTTGCAGGGTCAAACCAAAGATCCATGGACTCCAATATTCTGTAACAGGAGGCAATCTAGATAACCCCTTGGAATCCTACAAAGAAAGCAGGTAATTTTTTCCAAGTAATGTTCGGTGATAAACTGCTTCTGAGCATGGATGCTTCATATCACAATGATAAATAACAGGCAGTGATACATCTCTCTTATCTTTTAGTGCCATAAATTAGCATTAAAAGACTGGGAGTTGCAGTCCCAAAATATGTCAAAGCTATCAGGTTGGGAAAGACAAACTTAAATTATTTTATCTGAAGACATCTTCATCTCACTGTGGCACACTTCCCTTGGTTGTTTGCTACACTTGCATCATACACTTGCTTCTTCCTCCATGAAACTGCCTACATTCTCCAATCTCTTGAGCAGCCAAGTCCATGGATGTATAATTTTAATGGTGCTACCACTTTAGGATCTCCTTAGCTATTCATTACATCTAAGAGTACACTCAAGTTCATCAGTTGTGCAGAAATAGATAACCCTCATTCTTTGCCAAGGACCAGTTTAGTTATAGGTGGCAAGTGAAAGAGCACATATGCTTCTGAGAGGCATACCCAGACTAGAATCATGTCACAGTGTGATTTTTTTTTTTTTTAGAGCAAGGATCTGGAACTTTTTCAGGTGATGCATGATGTTTAAAAAATCAAAAAATTTCAAACAATGTCGCATGTGCTAAAAAAGAATAATTTTTAAAAGTAAGCTGGCCAGATTCTCATGAGTTCTTGCAGGTATCATCTTTCTGATAAGATGCTGGCTTTTTTTTTTTAACTTTTTTCTTTAAATTTTGGAGGTTCTGGAGTGCCACCAACCAGGGTCATGGGCACCATTAGTGCCTGTGGGTGGTGAGCTGCCAACCCTCTTTTTGGATCCCAAATACAGCCACTTGTGATGGACTGGAATGGAGGAAGGGGGGTGAAAATGGTGCTCTCGTCTCCAAAGCAACG